GAAACTTTTGAGTACATGATGGAGAACACAGTTCTTTACCTGGTATTTTATCCTGCCCTTCTAGCTCTTCACAAGGGTCACAGCAATGTGATTTAATGTTTTTATCCATTCCAGCACACATGAATTCTGTGAAGCCAAATACCATGTAAAAGGCATTTAATGTTCCATAACTTTGTATTATATATCCCTGTTTACAGTACACATTTGCAAATATATGTAACAGTTTCCATCTAAAATTCTGGTATAGCTATCATAGCAACTTCTGCATCATAATGCCCCTTTGACTTGCTTGATTTATAGTTCATAGCCTTATATTTTATAATTATATTACCCAATTTTTTTCTCTTCTCACACATTTTTAAACCAGCATAATTCCTTTAACCTCAGAATATGTTTTGATTTGCACCAGAATAAGAACCAAGACACCTCACAGGCACCTTGAGAAAGCAAGTTAAATGCTGCAAGGCTAGTAGTTTTGATGTCTTCTGTTGCTTTCTTTAAGACACCATGGAATTTCATTCTTGGATGCTGAGAAAAAGCAAAAAGATTACAGCACCAAGAGTATGAAAGACACTGTAGCTGCCCAGTTGATGCCCTTTTTAACTAATAAATTAGTTCCACTGTAGCTTCAATCCTGTTTGGTTGCTGTAAGTATTATTCACGTTTGTCTGCCTTCAGGTCTAAATTAGGTGCAGTCTCTGAGTACCAAGTGAGTGCACATTGACAAGTAGCCTAAGGTATGATGGTGGTTGCAGATAATTATTCTGGCTGACATACTCTATTGCACATCCTTTTGAGAAGCACAGAGGCCCTGCAGGGGCTTTCTAAATGATGACTACTGAGTAGAAAACATCCAAGGAGAAAAGCAGGTAATAAAGAGAGCCTTTAGAGACACACAACATATACCTTTGCTGTAAATCGAATTGATGTGACAATAGGGCTGTTTTAACTTTTGTTTCCTTTGCCTCTGCTCAAAACAGCTCTTCTCTATTTTTTATCCATAATATGTAGCAACACTGAGAGGCTTAACTACATATTTGCAGAACTGGGACTATCCAGAGTGAATAAATTTTTCACCTTATTCTGGAATCCAGACATTAATTATGTCGTGAATGTTTATCCTTATTAGTGAATTCATTTTTGAAAAGTCAGCTTTTGCTTGAAAAATGACACATTTATCTGAATTTTCTTGACGACTTGATGGTGCATTAGCAAAAGAAGTTCAAAATTGAATTAGTGATTACTCAGTTTTAACTTTGCCATCAGCCTTCACTCAGCAGCATACAAGTACAACAGTCATTCATTTGTGTGAACATAATCATGACTTATCGACATAACCTTGCTACTGTTACCCACTTACCTCCAACTACCTCAGCAGCAGGATAAACCTGTGCAGGATAACAGGAAAGCAATGCTATCTTATTTTAAAATATATAGTTGAGGATCAACTGGAAAAGTTTCTTGTGTTGCTGCTGGCAAGTCTGTAAAGGCTTGAGTTTTAATGTGGTTCAAAACATTCTAGACAAGGACAGTGACTGTCTTAGAGAAGCCCCAGGGATCGTAGTGATAGAATGAAAAAGTGGGAATGTTTTGGTATTTAAACATATATTTTAATGAGACATTAAAAATAACAAATATTGCATATGTACAACAATT